ATATTTACATATGTATTATTTGAAGAAATTTCCATTATTTTTAAATTAAGATTTAAGATTTAATTGAAGTTATGTTTTAAACGAAAAATAGTGGAAATAATTAATTTCTCTAAAACCGATAAAAGTTTACTATAACTTGATGGTGAACAACATCGTATCACTGAAAATATATTAGATTCATACGTTTTCTTAATGTAAATGACCAAATTTTCAAAAAAATCCTTAGCACCGTTTATTATCAAAACTATAATAAAAAAATTCAAGTAGGTCAAAATAAAAAAATACAAAAAAAATCACAAAAAATACCTAGAATACGGAAGAAATAAGTTGTTCGGAAAAAGCGAAAGAGAAAGATTGAATGCATTTCTTTAAATCAGCCTTCTGAGAAATAAAAATTCACCGGCCTAATATGAAAGAATATATAGGGCGTTTTTTTAAAAACGCTCGGCTGGAGATTCGTCATAAAAAAAAAACAGAAGAAAATAATGATAAAGCTTTAGCTATGCATGTCATCAGAGTCCTACGTCACTGACTTTTTCAAATTTTTATTATTTACTTCGAAATAGCGACTAACAAACTGTGCTTTTATTTCAAAAAATAGAGTACATTTTACAGTAATTATAGAAATAACTTTAACCTATTTAGTTAGCGGTCGTATTGAATGACGATAAAGCGTAATCATGAATACAGCAGAGAGCAAAACCATATTCAAAACCTGTGAAGTGAATACCCAGACCAACAAAAATTATTTTTCAATATATTTCAAACCCTGGCAAAAAACAAATGCATTTGTTAAATTCAATTTTTTTTACGAAGAATTAGAATTGAGATTTTTTTTTATTTTGGAAGCGTTATACAATTGGATTTTTAGTAAATAATTTCAACGGGGTTGGCCTTTTTTTGATTATTTCATCTATGATTTCCCTGATCTCTTTTAGAAATAAATATCTCCTTATCATAGCCTTAATAAGATATACTTATAAATTAGGCTGTGGTGTAATTAAGCAGCTTTATACGTACCTTTACATATTCAGAGAAAAAACGTTGTAAAATTTAAAATGGAAACTTCAATGAATTCATTAAAATTAAATATGTTTGGGCTCCATTAGTGCTTTTAAATAAATCAATAAGATCCTATATGATTATATAATGTCTTTTTGAAACTAACATGAGCACGATAATTTTCATTACTTATTCTTATTAAAACAAAAGTATTGTATAAATTGTAAGTAAAGTCCTTTCTTTCTGCAATCGCTACGCTTACATTATAGAGGTCCTATTTTCTAGTTTCAGGCGCATGCACTCTTAATGTAACAAGTTTCCTTATAAAATTTAATATTTTCATTGGAATGGGCAACGATGACTATGATAATTTATATGACGTGACACACCAGTCTCATCTTGCAAGTGGACATGGAGGTTGAACGAGAACACTGAAAGAGGCTAACCGTAAATACAATATTATCGTTATGTGGTGGCCAAGGATTTAATAAATGCAATTGCATTTGAAAATGTTCTACCAAAGATGTTTGTTCAGATCCACTAAAATAATCTGTAATTCTAAATGCCACGGAAGTTTGCCCTGTATAAATATTTCTGTTAGTGGACATTTTAATTCATTTATTTATAAAGTCATTTATAAAGTAAGTTATTTTTAAGTATTGAAATTTTAAGATTGTCGTTTCACGATATGGATTTCTGTAACGTATCAGGGCTATTGTGTCTTTTGGGATACAAAATCACTAGTTTTCGGGCTTATAGCACTTGTTTTTTCGGGCATTTATGGTAATATACATTGTTTTTTTGCTCGTAGCTAACAATTTAAAAAATGAAGTACTTTCAAAACCACACCAGCCAACCACCCAAGTTGACTACTGAGAAGGAGTAAACAAACGCTAATTGCGGCTTATCCCTTTGTTCTATTGGTAAAAGTCGCATCACAGCAAATCCTCTTTTCTTACCGCCGTTAAAATATAAACGCTCCAGATTGATTAATGTGGTTATATTATTATTATAAGAGGACGGATAAACATCCTTTTGTAATAAGCGAGTAATAATTTGTTTTGAGCATCATTTTGTTTAAATCAAATATGCAATTCACTAAATATAGGAAAAAAGAAAATCGTTGATGTTTCAAATTGACTAAACGAATAATGTATAAACAAATCAATAATTTTAAACATACCTAAAATGTTATATTTTGTTTAGTTAAATTGTAGAAAACAGTTGATTTATTACAAGGTGATTTTTTGTGCATTTTAAAACGCATTATTTTTTCGAGTGTATAGATTAGCTTATACCCCACATAAGTTCTTTACGCACATAAATAATAAAAACTGTTTAATAACAAACCATCAGTAACAGCCACCGGAATGCATCTTTTCTCCTCGTACTTCCGTTAACAGTATAACAATAAATCTTATGTCCATAAACACTTTGGACAATAAAAATTTTCACCTGCTCTAATCTAAAACGCTGTAACGTTATTCCAGTTAAAAGTGGTCTGTTGACGATAGTTCGTAAGTGCCATAAAATGCCGTCAGACCGGATGCTTGACGGTAAGCGGAAACCCCCTTAGTGCAGTGATAACAAAAAGTACTCTAGTAATTTTGAGCCTACGAGGGATAAAGGAAGCATAAAGCCACCAAAGTAATAAAAAAGAATGACACCTTTTTACAAAATGCGCTTTGAAATATTGTCACTTTAATTGTTCTACCTCAATTTATTTGGATTCAGATACTGCAGTTAAAGTGGCAGCTTTAAAAAAAAAAAAACAATTAAAGATCCGAACTAATTTTCTTGTTTTAGTATTTGGTTTTAGTATCTATGCTTTTATTTCAAGAAATTAATTATAATATCAAGCAATGATTTAGGGATAGTTTCATAGTCGTTTATTTATTAAGCACTGCTCCGCTAGTATTAAATCAAATGCCTAAAATGGCCTTTGTCAACCTTGTATTATATACTGTTACTGCCCATGGTTTTTGTATTTATTTTGTAATTATATATTTTGGCAATATGTAAAAATGGATGCGGCTCTGGGGAGCTATTCCTGAACGCCATTTTGGTGGGTGTTTGCAAATTGTCAAAATTGCGAATGATATTTTAACATGAAATTCTTGACCATTCGAATAAGTTTCGAGAGCTCTGAAATACTGCGAACGCATTTTGACAGTCACCAAGTTAATTTAAAAGTGTTTTTGGTTCAATTTATTAGATTATATTATTAACTATTGGAAAGTTACGGTCTTAAAGACCCATGACATAATAGCTTTAATTATATTGATCCCTAATTTTCAGGTTATCAGAAAGTTTGGTAAAAATTGTGGATCTGTTTATGAAACCACAGCCGTGGGTCACTGATTTAAGTATCACAATAAGGGCGAGTTTTTTTCAGAAGGTAGAATGTTGCTTACTTATTTGTTACCGTGTCATATTTGTTACCGTAGTCATATTAAAGAACTTTTTGATAAATGAACCTGAAATAATTGATAGATAAGTATTTTTTAAAAATTGAACTGAGGTGGCTTTTACTTGATCAAAATCCAAAGACACGGTGTTGTCGAAACAATTGTCATGTGAAAATATATAATTTCGTGAAAATCTAAACTTTTAGTTCTTATTTATCTTGATAAGAATTTTTACTTCTGTAATTATTTCAGGATCATTTAGTGCAAAACTAAGTTGTCTTGGAAAGAATTCCAACACATTTTTGGGAATTAGATGAAGTGGGGGTAGGATAAATGTTGCTACATTTATCCTACCCTCACTTCATCTAATTCCCAAGCATCCCCAGCATAATAATATAATATAAGGCATCAACAAATCCTTTTTTGTTCCACTTCTTATTTTATTGTAATTTATACAATATTTACAATGGTAATCAAATTATTACAAAAAATAACGACTTAACCCCAAGACAACTTAATACTGACAACATAAATGTCATATTCTTTAATTTGTCACATTGCCAAACTGACTCCAGATTGCGAACGTTCGTAGATTTGGAGAGTTATGAGGGTCAAAAATAACCTCATTGTGGTGTCGAGGTTGGAAATAATTTTCCTCGCATTTCAAATTCAGAACATTTAACAAGGTCTAGGCATGTTCTGAGAAAATACTGCCGTAAAAATGCTGCATCCAAACTATAACATTTCGAATTGACAGACTGTCAGCCATCATGTTGTTTATTTAACAACGCTGCCTTATTTTAACAACAAATAACATCTGTCTTAAATGACAGATGTTATTTGTTGAGACTGAGATTTCGACATTGTTTAACATTTTTTCATCATTTCATCAAATGTTATTATATTTCTAGTAGCTCTGTGCTCCCCTTAACCACTCTTTTTGTTCATATTTACCTGTGCTTTTATTTCCTTTCCTGCTTTTTATTCATTTGCTGTGTCTTTAGACTGTCTCTAACACAATTTTGGTCGCTATTCATTGTCATCTCGTAAAATTTGTAAATTTGTTTTTGCGATATTGTAGCATAGCACTTTATGAAAAGACACAAATGTAAAATTGAAATTGTAATCACAGATTAATCTTTCTAGTGCGGCAAGATAGTCCGAGCAATCAGACTTACTTTGACTTCTTACTGAACGATTTAAATAGAGCAAAAAAATTGATCGGAGCCAATACCGAAGCAGCCAAAACAATATGAAAATTGTATGAAGTATGGATCCGCAAACCCTTGTTTTTTACGACACTGATTATTTTCTATCCTCGAAAAAACAATTTTTGAGAAAAATGAGAATATCTCACTTTCTAATAGAAATTGAATTTAGTATGAATTCTCTATTAAATTACCTCGTTACGAAACCCCACTTTTTTATTTTTTTTATTTAATGCCCTATTTAATTGTTTCTTAACCCTCGATTATTGCTGTGGTTATGCAACACAGTATACACCCCGGAACCCTTAGATCTAACCAAAACAATAGAAGGACCGCGACATAATTAACAACAAAATTTTATTATTATTTAATTTATATGTGAATATGTGGGTCGCCTTTATTTCCGCTATTCGTTTTCGTACGAAAACCGAAGTTCAAATCATCTGTCGCCCTAGAGTTTATCTAGTCAAAATCATAAATGTTATTTGAAATTCGCGCAAAAAAAAAATCGAAAGTCGCCTGATCCTGACGTTTGGGATTATGAGTTTTAGTTTACGTACTTAATTTGAAATGATGCTTTTGGTACATTTTCGTGTTGTCCAAGGATAAAAGAACAACGTAACACATTTGGAAAGAACCGCACTGTAATGACTTCTCAACACATTCCAGGTGAAAATACTGTCCAATGTAACGTAGTGAGCTCCTCTTCTGACCTTTACAATTGCCCGTTCGTTTCAAATTTCCCATTACACGGTAGAGCGCACTACAGATTTTACAGGAGAGTGAAACTGTCAACCCATCCCACAAATTCTAGGATGAATTCTTCCAATCCTGTACCAAAGATTCCCAGTAGGCTTTTGAGGTTATGTTTTATATTTTCAAGGCTTGAGTTTGCGGGTTTTTTTTAGGGGACGCTAACGGAAATGTAGTTATAACCACAAGAAAAGCACTCCTGGCGGTTGCAAGCATATTTGCCGGTGCACTATTTATGTTGTATTTGCTGTATAGAACATTTCCCAATGTCACTGAGTAAGCAACTTGAATCAATTTTAACAATCTATACTTTGGCCTTTTTCGTAGTGAGGAAAGACAACATTTGAAAGTACCTTGGAACATAGAAGATGCTAAACAATTAGGTCTAGTATTGAGTCGATACAAAGGGGATCATTACTATCATGTTATGGCGGGAGTGTTCTTGACATATATTTTGTATCCTTTTTTTTTAAGATTTAGTAATTATGCTCTTTTATTTTATGATGGAGATTGAAGAAACAAAATGCGTTTTTCCTTAATACACAATCTATAGCTTGCAATCGTTTGCAATACCTGGATCATTGTTTTTGTCCATCCTGTCAGGATTTTTATTTCCCTTCTATGTTGCCTTACTATTAGTATGTACTTGCTCAATGATTGGAGCTACACTGTGTTTCATGCTGTCTCAACTGCTAGGAAGGAGGTTAGTTCTGAAACACTTTCCAGACAGAGCTCACCGCTGGGCTATACAAGTTGAAGAACATAAAAACAATCTCTTCAATTACATGGTCTTTTTGCGTATTACACCTATTCTCCCAAATTGGTTTATCAACTTGACAGCCCCAGTAATAGGGGTGCCTTTAATACCGTTTGCCTTGGGCACTTTTGTTGGTGTTGCCCCACCTTCATTTTTTGCTATACAGGGTGGACAAACTTTGCTTGCTATGACTGCAGAAGATAATGCATTTAATATGCAGACATTCAGCTGGTTGGCGGTTTTTGCACTGATCTCAATTATTCCAATATTCCTCAAAAATAAAGTGTAACCAAAGTATTATTAAATTAATTATTTATTTTTGTATAGGTAAATTTTGCGGTGTAAATTGAATACTGAGTCATTAGATAAATTTTGTTGTAGTTAAATTGTTGGATTTGTTTGTACCATTATTTGTATCAAAATACAAAAATGTACAGTTTTGAAAAATGTGTTGTATTTATTATTAAAAAGTATACCCACTACTTATAACCTGGTTAAATGCCAAAAGCTACCTGCCTTTTGCTGTGTCAATTATCCCATAAGAAGGGTGGTATACATCTATAGACAAAATCAAACCATATGCAGTGTAATTATATAAATCTATATAAAATTCCTTAAACTAAATCATAAAAAATTAACAGTAAGAACTGATGTAGGTTATTGATGGCTCAGTCGAGTTTCCTGTAGGCATATAAATTGGCTTCCAATACCACCAATTATACAGCACTGTTAAAAAGTCACTAGGTCAGGTAAATTTTACATAGCAAATGGTATACTTACGGGCATAAGAAGGTTTCAAGACTACTGAAATCCTTTTACATTTGCTGCTACATTCAGGGGATGGCTGAAATATGACAGTCCTTTCTCCTGATCCTTGAATCATTAAGACAAAATTACACTCTGTATTTGGTAATGTGAACGGTTTCGATCTGAATCCTGCAATGACTAAGAATCTTTCGACACTCTGGCCAGATCTCTCGGGTATAAAAGCAGGTCTTGGAAACAGTTTTCTGATAACCCGACTTGTCGACATTTTGTTGATACGCCACTGCAGGAGTATATCATCAGACAGATCAGAATTATTATAATTCATTAAAGCTTGAATGGTGTTGATTTCAGGTCGATTTGTGTTTATTCTTCTTAAATCTAAGTTATCCTTAGAATAATGGTGATAAAATGTATTCAAGTTCTCTATGTTCACTGAGTTCTGCTTTGTCTATAACACGATAACACGATGGTGACATGATTTAACAAGTTTCGATATTTACCTTGGCAATTGCAATTGTTCCTTCTTCTAACTTTTTGTAATTAATTTGGTTAGCACCAGTTAGATTAATGACTCCATGCATATTTTGGCATGGCCAGCACTCCATATTTGCTAAATTGAAATAAGGATTTTCAATTAGACAACTCTCATCGTACCAATCTGAAATAAGAAGCTATTAATACCTAAACGTTTCAGTTGCAAAACTCACCCGTTAATGAATCCAATATTTTTATGATAGGTACAGATAAAGACCTGACCCTTTTTAAGGTAGGATAAGTGAGCCCTTGTACATTACGTAGTACTATACTAGATGTAGGTTGATGCACATTCAATAAAATATACAGAAAAGTAAAAAAACAAGCGAAGAACAAAACCACACGTATCGCAGTTTTTGCAATAGTTATTTTTTTTGGGGCATTGTCCAATTCTTTAAAGAGTTTTTCGAAAACATCGTTTATTTCGTTATCGAGCAGGCCCAACTTATTGGCTTCGATTCGTGTATTATGCACATCTTGCTTAAAATTGTTCAAAACTACATTTTTGTTAACGTGCATTCTTATTATAAATATCAAATAAACAATCATGGACCATGGAGGATTTAAAGTTATCCACGGATGAGGTTAGGACTTTCAGTTATGCTGGTTTAGTGTTAGTCAATAATTCCATCACTCATGATTAAAAAACCCTTCCACTATATTCTAATGTTCCAATCTAATTCATAATAAAAGAAAACAATTTTTGTTTCCTGTAGGTGTATATTGGGTTGCCTGGTATAATGATAAAAATACAATTGAGCAGTTGAATTTTCAAATAATTCTAAGACGATTATACGTTTATCAAAATAACAAAATTCATATAGGTCTCTATTTCAATCACGCAACGTAATCGCAATGAAGTGCTCTGGCCCGGGCCACCTAGCACGCTGACCACTGGGCCTAGGCTGGTGACATACGACCGAGCCTACTGACCAGAAACGGACACGTAAGGCTAGAACCACAAATCCACATTCTCTCCCCTTTCTCTAATTATAAAATTGTAAAAGTCTCGAGAGTCTGGTAGGTATCCGATCCAAGTCCCTATGATTATCTGGTTGCCTAAAAACGTATTTACATGGGTAATGAAAGTTTCTCATATATTTTGGGAGATACGTGGATAGTCCTTGAATTCGACAGTATTTTTCCAAAATACGACCAAATCTTGCGACGCATCAATTTCCCTACGCCTTTGAGTTAAAAACAAAGGCAAATTAATGCTTCCATTATTTTTATCACAATCAGGGTCTACGATACATAACAATTTTTTCTCGCAATAAATAAATGATAGGAGCATATATATTTGCTAAGTGAAGAAATCTTCTGCGGATCTTTTGCGCCAAAAGGTTTCTTTAACACTTTTTGCTGCACATTTTACAAACGGAAATAGTAACCACAAACAGGCATTGAAATAATACGCTAGTGCGGCCAGTAGCAGCAAAAAACGTAAATCTAACTTGTGAAAATAAATATAATAATAAATAACGATTATTAAAATGCCGGAGACTATTTCTAAAGGACCGCGGACCAGATGCCACTGACGCATCCCTATGAACGCTCTGTAAACTATCTTCTCCGTATAGCTGACTATGCCGTATCCCACTCCGAAAAGGAGACTACTTAACGTAATGACGTCGTTGGTCAGCTTCCCGAAAAGCGCTGAAATAGAAAAAAAAAACGGTTCGATGCTCTCGTAATTATCGATTTATCATCGCAAATCGTAAAATTTTACCGATCATACTGGTTCCTGTTACCATTAATCCAAATATTAACGCGAATCTGAGTTTTGTATTGGACATTTTGGCAATAAGCGGCAGGCTCAGCAGAAAGAAGCACCAAGCGAACGCCACGTAGGTCAACAGGAAAGTCGCGTTTTCGGTCGTGAAAAATCTTTCCTGTCTCCAGCTTCTCTCTAGGGCCATGAATGGTGCGAGGGTTATGTATAATACTGGAATCATGTCACCGATAACTTTCGAGGTCAGCGCGGGATAAAAATACCAAGTTTTTGCGGCCGTAAACGAAGGCCTGAAGATGTTGTCTCCCACAAAATCTTTCAAGGACCTGAGGCGTCTACCCCAGACATATTTTCTGTAAGGAGTACACGCAAACCAGTGTTTAGACCTATTAAAAGACTTCAGCTCGTCTATAAACGATTTGGACCTTTCTTCTCGAAAGTTCGGTATGTATTCAATCCTGCTGATCACGTCCGGTTGTTCCACAACGACGTCAAATTTGTAGGTATTTCCGGACTTGCTCATCTCCTCCAGTTTGGCACTAATTTTGCTGAGCCTTTTCGAGTCGATCGTGTTTTTGTCGTCGTTTTCTTCTTCGTTTTCTTCGGGTATGCCCGGCAAAATGCTGACGCCCGCGTTTTGGAAGTAGTGCTGAACATTCACCGGATTCAGATAAGATTGCGGCGCAACCAAGTCCGCCACCGTGTGGTCCCCCGGTATTTCGGCGACATTTTGGCTGCTTTTAGTGTCCAAGATGATTTCCTCGTCGGAAGAATCGTCAGTTGACGTGGATTCTGCCGTAGTTTTTTGTGGAGCGACACTGAGTTCACGTAACTCAGTCATCTTGTATGTGAATCGTCTAAACCGAAATGCATTTAATAGTTAAAGTGTATTTCAGAAAGGTATAGAGTAATAAAATCTAGTTAGAAACGTAAAGGGACTGCAGACTGAGGCGACAAATACTTAAGCTTTCCATTATTTACCATTGGTTTTATTACAAAACAATTCATCAATTTATCTTCCATTTCAATATTGTTGGACATCAAAGAATCGATAATTTCTTATCTTGTTTCAGGCAAACATTTTACCGTACCTCAGTAAAGTAAATTTAGTTCATTTGCCGTCCCAGGTATAACGTTTACAAGAACAGAATTGTGAATTTACAAATGCCTTCCTTACAAAGAGCATTTGAACTTGAAAACTTTTAATGACGTAAGAACTCGTTATAACCTCTTAGCGTTAGAGGATCGGATAGTGGTAACTCATATTCTTGTCTTGTATCTTGAATGGACGTGTGGACTGCTCTGGAATATTAGCAAGAATACCGTTTGTGAATCTGGACACTAAGACTTATTTATTATTCGCATGATTCCTTAAAGAATGCATTTACCGTTAGACTTTTGAGTCGGTACTCATCATATAAAAATTGTGATCTTATTATGTATTTACTGATAAACAACAACAGTTCCCATTTTGAGTTTTCTTTTTTATTACTATTTCTAAATTTTTTTCATCTTCGATGGCTATTTATAAGATTTGCTTTAGCGGTGGTATTTGCGAGTCCTGAGTTTAATGTGCTTAAGTTAAAGGTAGCGGAAAACCGGGTAAGATGACGAAGCGATTAAGATGACTAATTTTCGGTATAAATCCTAATAATAATAATTATTCATGAAACTTATACGGACATCTAGGAATAAGTTTCAGAACTAAATTTTATACTTGCCTTGGCGCTGCAGTCTGCAGATCGACAGTTATTTGACATTTGCCGTTTGAACAGCTCAGGTTATAATTTTTGTGCTCTTAAAAATAGTTTTTTATGGTATCACGACGTAACTATTTGAATATTAGTTAATCTGTGTAGCGAAAATAAAGTTTATTGTCTTGTTTGCCAAAAATAATAGATTTTGAATTAGTTTTGGCCTTTTTAATTCTACGTGATGGTGGCGGGTGACGAATTCGTCATCTTACCCACAACGTATTTTTATGAACGAATTTTGTACAGTAATCGGTTCTGTCTTTTTCAATCTAGAGAACTTTATAATTACATAAAAATTGTATACGAACGTACTTTGGACTAACATTTCTTCAACTGAGAGAAATAGCATATGAATATGCGGAAAGAAACGAAATTCCCCATCGTTTTAAGACTGAAAGAGGCATGGCCGGAAAAGATTGGACTGCTGGATTTGCCAAGAAATGGAAATTAAGATTGCGAAAACCAGAATCTACGTCGTTGGCCAGATTAATGGGATTTAATAAAGCATCAGTCGGTATCTTCTTCGATATAGTTAGCGAACTTTATACAAAATACCACTTCAAACCCGAAAGCATTTATAATGCAGATGAAACTGAACCTGAAACGCTAAAATTCCCAAAGTCTTCAGTCCACGTGGAAATAGAAGAGTGGTAAAAGTAGTTTCAGTGGAAAAGGGGCAAGAATACAACGGTGGTCTGCGCTGCCAATGCTGCTGGTTGCTGATGTTCCACCTTTTCTGTTTTCGGCAGAGTTCGCATGAAAAACGAACTTCTTCCTGGAGCACCTGTAGAGTCATCAGGAAGCGCGCAGGAAAACGGATGGATGGACTCGGAGATATTTCTAAAATACCTGAAACACTTCAAGCATCACACGAAATGCTCTCCGGAGGAACCCATTTTACTTTTTGTGGACAATCATTACTTACACGTTACACGTTATTACACGTTACTCTTCAATCCATCGATTTTGCAAAGGAATCTGGCATTATAATGGTCGGATTTCCCACACATACAACCCTTCGAGTACGACCTATGCATGTATCATTTTTTGGTCTCTTAAAAATCTATTTTAGTCAGGAGTGCGACTGTTTCTTGATAAACCATCCAGGGCAAACAATTACTGACAAAGATATTGCTGACTTATTTCGCCGCTCATACGAAAAAGCTGCAACTATTGGTAATGCCATCAATGGATTCATCGGAATATATTTGATGATTCGGATTTTGCACCAGCTTTAACCACAGATAGAGAAATGCCAAATTTGAACTGTGAGAATAGACAAGTAGAATATCCAGAAGTTAATATGTTAAACGATACTGACAGTGAGGCTGAGGACAATCAACCGTTGATTAAGTTTGTATCCAAGCAAAACAATCTGGATGAAAATCCAACACCGAATCGGTAATTGTATGAACCGATCGAAAATAGATGCAGTAAACAGAACCTTATTTGTTGATGATGGGAATTCGGCAAACAACGAAATGGATCTGATGGATCAACCCGGTCCAAGCGGAATGCAAATGTTAAAAGAAAAAGTGGAAAATGTTAACCGTCAAAAATCTACAATAAGTGATCAGTGCAACGAAAAAAAAAAGAGAGTTTCAGTGGAAGAAATAAAATCACTTCCAAGAGCTTTTAGAAACGAGACCAGTACTAAAAAGAAAAAGATTACAGCAAGAATTATAACGTCTACACCAGTAAAAATAGAGATTTATGAAAAAGAAAATCTTGCCATTGAAAAAGAAAAAAGAATAAACGAGAAAAAGAAACAGAAAGAGCTGAAAAACCAAAGGAAACTTAACGAACAGAAAAATAAAACTCGGAAAAAACATGACGAAAGAAAGAGTGAATGTGAAGTTATATTGTGTCCGGGATGTGAAGAACATCGACCAACGGCGGAGTGGATTCAATGCTCGTCCTGCCAGCTGTTATGGCATGAGGCGTGCAGTAATTTTGATGGAATAAATTACTTTACTGTGACTTTTGTTAATTCGTCATCTTATCCTCATCCATTCTCCAACTTATCCGACATATTGGGTAAGATGACGAATTTGCATTTTTATTAAACTATGCATTTTAAATAATTTGAGCTTACTGGATGTAACGATACTGTTTATTTTTGATAAGGAAGTTCCTAAGATTTTGTTATGAGAAAGTTTTGTGGGAATTTATAATAAATAACCAATAATATGTACGTTTTTTCTTAACCTCGTCATCTTACCCGGTTTTCCCCTATAACTATTTTAAATTTTTGTTATGCATTTTTTCTTTCTTTTGTTAACAAAGCTTCGAATTATATTGTATTGTGTATTCGGAGACAGTAAAAAGAAATAATGCCTGGCAAAACAAAAGCGGAACGGGACACAAAAAGCTCTAAAGACAATAAAATCAATTTGAACAACGAATAAGACAAACAACGCGCTAAATATTTCAAACTCACAACAATTATAATACTTAGAGTAAAAGCAACAAAATTCAAAAATTGTTCAGGTCCAGGAGAACTAAGTGCAGAGTTTTTCAAATACGATCTACCTACTATAACTATCAAAAATTATTAGATTGAAAGATATCGAAATGGAGAAACGATACACGAAGAATGGCGACAATCTTATACATCGCATGTACACAAAAAATTACAGAACAAAAATATACTCAAGAGTGCTGAGAAGCAAATCGAAGAGGAAATCAGAGACAAACAACCAGGAGAACAGGAAGATTTCTCAGCTATAATAATATGGTTTCCTTTTTATACTAAGCATATACAAATGATTGAAAAAAATTCAAAACAAATTCCTTAACTTTGAATACTATATTAAAAAAAGAGAAGCTGATACTTATAACAACAGCTTAGAACGTTATAAAATGTCAACATTGCAATAACTCAGTTACTGTATCTTTTTAAAATCATTAATAACCCAACCTTTAATACTGCATATATTTAAGTGTCCCAAATAAAACAGGTTTAAAAGGCTCAGGACCTTTAGTTAAAATTCTTAGTCATACCAAAATAAAATAGATATTTTTAGTAAAATGTTATAGATTTATTCTAACTAACGGATCCCCTGTTACTCTTTAGGAAGAAGCAACTTTCTTGGCATATTGTGAGTAGTGGTACTTACTTTTTTAAGCTAGTTTTTAACTTAGTTTATTAAGTAGGTAAGCAACTTGTTATTGGGGATCAGACTGTAAATTCAATAATAATAATAAATAATAATCATTTTATCAAACTAACCAAAGTAGTTTTCAAAATTTTCGTGGTCATCTCTCGTATGGCACGATTAATCAACTTCTTTTTAAAAAATATCTTTCCTTTACTTCGTCGCAAGTGCTCAAAAATTGCAAAGATTGTCTTTTAATTAGTACCCTATATAAATATCATAAATAATTTTATTGCACAAAGTTTACCAACGACCACATTCATTTCGTTCATTGCATTACCCTACACTTTTCTGAAATAGCCTATTTTGAAAACTTACCCGAATGTTTGGTATCGCACCAAATCCGGGAACAGGTCTCTTTCTTCCGCTTCTGTCTTAATAAGAAACAACATGGGAATGATATTTAGTAACACCGCCGCGTAAATTAACTTTGCTTGGTTCGCCTCGTAGTGCCACACCAACAGGAACATTACCTGTGGCATTACAAACAAGCTCAAAGCTCTGGATACTTGTCTGATGACCTCGAACATGTTGTGATCCATGTCCAACTTATCTGTCGCCACTGTTCTCACTTGAGTCGATATTAGGTTACTAAAAAGGCCTAAACAAATGGAATTGTACTTCACTGATGGGTATTTACCTCCACATAGGGCGTACAGTTTCATATTGCCGGGGATTAGGATGCCTAAAAATAAAAGAGCGGTCGTTATGCCTGTCAGGTATCGGAAAAACAAGCATTTTCGGTCTTCGAAATATTCGGAAAGGAATCTCGAGAACGGATCTACAAAATAACATTCCATTAGAAAATAGACCATATCGCTCGAGAAAAAAAATTATGGAAAAATAAATTTACATTTTTGTGAAAAAAATTAATTATTAACTAAATTAATTCTAGATTTTAAAATTTTGCCTCCAGGTGATAACTGATTATATGTACAACACATTTTACATGTTTATTAAAACTAATACTAGAATATTAATATAAAACACATTTAAATTAAACAAAAAATGTTCACATTCTTACAGTTATTTAGTTTATGATGTTTTAGCTTGTTTCAATAGTACCAAAAAAAATAAGTTCTTTTCGAATCATATTAAAACCATACATAATCGTATAAAATTTACCATAGAGGCGGAACTAGATAATTTTTAATTTAATTTATTTTTTTTTTCAGGACTTAACTATAAGTAAATTAGAGAACAAATTAGATTTTTCTATTTACTATAAACCCTCACACATAATAACTCAAATCACTCACACACACGAAATGGTAGCCTTTTATTCTTTTATGCACAGGCACAGAAAATTTTGAAAAAGAACTAAATATTATAAAGCAAATAGCTTTTAACAATGGATACGAATATAACTGAAAAACTGTTTCAAATAACTGTGAACTCTATCTATCCCATATTAAACACTGAACCCAAAATTTATATAACAATAAAATATATAGGAGAACCTCGCAAGAAAATTTCGAAATATCTATCTAAATTTGGTGTTGATTGTTTTTAAAACTGATAAACACCATAAAAAAAATTAAAAAAACCAATATTACTAAATCAAACAAAACTCAAAAATCCGGAGTCTACAAGTTGAAATGTATATCATGTGTCAAAATTTATATCGAAGAAAAAGGTAAAACTTTTAATAAACGCATTAACGAACATAAAAGAGGATACAAAAATAAAAGTTTGGATTCTAACTATGCCATTGATTTAAATTCAGAAATGGTCAAGTTTGACGTTAATTTTGATATTTTACATAATTAAACAAAAAACAAAATTTGTTGGAAGCTATGGAGATTATTAAAATAAAATATTCCAACCTATTATTTAATGACCAATTGAATTTAAATGCGTCCCCGTTGTTAGATTTATATTTCTTATCCCTACAACGTTAATTAAGAAGTGATTACTACCTGTTTATATATACATAAATCTCGGGATATTGTCATATTTAAATAACTATGAAAATCTGAACATTTTTTGATCTAATTTAATTGTGTTAAATGGATTTTCATCAAGTAAAAGCCACCTCAGTTTAATTATTAATATAAAAGTGAAACCCAGACGTTTACTGCTATTTTAATTAAGCTTTGAAAAGTCTATCTTCTAGTAAAACTAATACAATTTAAAATTTATTAATATCTTAATAAGGAGTATATAAACATTAATGTAAACAGTACTACATTATATATATATATATATATATATATATATATATATATATATATATATATATATATATATATATATATATATATATATATATATATATATATATATATATATATATATATATATATGTGAGATTTTGGCGAAACGTCTGCAGGATTCCAGTCGGATGCAGGATTTGCAGGATTCCAGTCGGAGTTCAACGAGCGAACGGATGATATCCCGGAATATAGTGTCATCATATATATATATATATATATATATATATATATATATATATATATATATATATATATATATATATATATATATATATATATATATATATATATATATATATATATATATATATATATATATATATATATATATATATATATATATATATATATATATATATATATATATATATATATATATATATATAATTTTAGTAAATAGGTAATGATTTAAAGGAGGAAGAAAACCCAACGGTATAGAAGAATTTTAATACCTTGTTTAACAAGTTTAAAAGATAAATACAAAAATTTAACACCTCCGTTACTCCATATAGGGTTTCAAGTGTTATTTCAAAAATTCCTTCGTGAAATCAAACACTGGGGAAATTATATAGAAAAATCACTTTTAGAATCGGATTGAAAATAAAATCATTTTCTCTGAAAATATTATGTTAAAAAATTAACTATCCATCGAATTTTACTTAATTTTATACCATTGCTAGAGTATTCGATCAAACCATTTTATTCTGTCGGTACCTGTAAAATTCCAGCTGCAAATGAAAAGCAACGTAGTCCACAGTACATCCGTATGACTTTGAACTCCAAGTAAAACATGCTCGGCCAGAATGATCCCATAGCAATAGAGTGTCGAAGAAATTAAGAACTAAGAAAACCAGACAAAAACTATTACTACTCTTTAAACAAATAAAGAAGCACTTTATTAATAAATCTTTAGGTATGCTTCTTTCAAAAATATTTCTATGGAAGTTACAAAAGCTACAGACAGATTTTTTTTATTTTTTATTATCTATTTAATTTATTTTTTATCTCGTAGCGTCATTGAATTTTGCCGAGTCTTTTTTAGACAGCCTGTACAGTTACCTATAGATAAATTTTAGAATTAGACACTTTATGAAACTTTTATTATTGAAGCTTTTGAACAAACATCGCTTGAAGGTGGGAATTATCACACCGCGGTGTCACATGCCTGTCGACTCTGGAGAAAGGTATCAAAATGTCTCCAGTTGTATAAGTAGATTGCATAAGAAGGAGAGAAACTCACCTCGATAACTGCAATTCCAATTTTACCTCTCAAATTCGACTTCCAACCATTGTTCGGCCGATGATAATCCACGTTCAGATCTGAGAACGTAGCGTTTTTGTTCATTATTTCAATTTTTCTGTCATGCTACCCACACCACGCACTAAATACATTTTTTTCCTCCACAACAATGATTTTCTTTTATGGACACAGCTATATACAGAATATTTTTAAAGTCTGATATGAAATTGGCAGCGGAATTATTTTATCTTATCTCAGATTGCGCGTAATCGCATCTGTGTCTCCTAAGATGCTCCAAGTCAGAAATAACAACATATTATTTTCGTAAACAAAGTTTAATTAAATTATGTTTAATGCATATCGAAAGTATTTTTGTCTTTTGAAATAGATTTTCATGACTTTTCAAGGGACCTGTGATGTCACGTTAGACACCAGTTTATCTTGCATTTGAATTTGAATTGTATTTTAAAATGATCTCATAATTTGAGGAAATACTTCATACATAAGTTTTGCGCGCTTGGGGATTTGAGATAAACAAACATTGGGTGTTAATCTCACTCAATATTTGGCAAAAATGTACTTCTTCAGAAATGCCATTGCGTAAGTATATTTTTCCAAATAATTACTCTTTTCTCAAAAATTATTATTCGAACCGTCAAATTATCCATCGAGAGAAAGTAGAGAATTTTCATACGTTCGGATAGAAATTCGAATATGTGAAAACATTTTTCACATCACATCACTTTTTTTTATTTTACAGTACAGGGTGTCCGAGATAAGGTTCCCTGTCCCTTAACTCAGAAAGTACAAATAGAAAAGTTGCATAGTTTCATCTAGATTTTTTAATTTACAATTTTCCATATTTATAGAGTGTTCCTTTTATGTGAGGTTGAAACCAGCTGACTTACTTTAAATAAAGAACATTACATTTTAACGGACCCGTTTTTACTATTTATAAATCATCTGGATTCCTCCTGCATCGATTATTTATAAATCAACTTTCTGACGTTCGTCAATCATCCTGTTGGCTTCTTCAGAGATTTGTAGGGACAGGTTGCAAGGGACAATACCGTCCAGCGATACGTAACACGTGCAAGAATGAAAATAAATTTCGTGTTAGAAGTAGTCCTCTATTTTCATCGGTCTTCATAAAAATATCTTCGCGGCAACTTGTGAAAGTTTATAGAGTCATAACAAATCAATGTCCATTTTGACGAATATATTCCAAAAGACACATAACCAAAACCGGCATTGCTTGTTATAAAGAAACAAAAATGATTTTTTTTAAATCTGTCAATTTTTATAGATTAAATAAAAATGCTCAATAATCACGACACTACAGAAAGGTATGTATTATTGCATTTTTGGACTCCCCGGGAAGTTTTAGGTATATTTCAGGTTATAAACCAGTTTTTGACAAGTCTTGAATTTTATGTCAAAAATTATTGGATTTTGGTTAAGTTATTTGTGTCATATATTAAGTGAATATTTTGGATGTAAATTAATAATAAAGTAGGAAAATTAAATGACAACGTAAAAAATCTTTTATTTTAAAATGAAAGACCCCCTATTTCCGTAATTTAATCCGCTTTGGAATAAAAAATGAAGGTGAGTTTATATAAGGTTGTCTATTCCAGAAATTTATAGTTTCCGAAATAATGGACAATTTAATATTTTCCTATTCCATAATAATAATGCTAACGCGGCCAAAACTAACACGGTTACAATTTATGTTATCAGCTATACTTTAAAACAGCATACTCCTCGAATCACCAAAAATTTTTGTTTTGGAAATTCTTTGTAGATATTTTCTATAATATTCGCTTGTAATAAAAGAGATTTTTGTTTTTGTTAATATCATAATTATATAGATTTGATCTTTCATTTTCTGAGTACATTCGAAAAAAATACATAAATGCAGACGAGAGCAACCAAGCGTTCAAATTAACCCAAAAAATCCGGGTGTAATTGTATTTGGTCGAATATAGACTCGAAATTATTTAAAAATCTTATTTTCTAAAGCTATTAGTAACCTATTGTTGGTTATGGATCAGGAATTGAGATTCACAGAGCACATCTACAAATCTATTCAAAAAGTTTTTTTTTAATTTGAGTCTACGAACAGAGAATATTAGTGCCAAAAAATTTAAAACAATGCTTTGCGAGTCATACGTCCTGTCACAAGTCCTTGTTTAAAGCAAACTGACTTTAACAGAATTCACCCTTTACAGAATTCTTGCTTAAGACATGGATTTGAAAATATCAATATATCTGTCACATTTTAAAAACTACCAACTGCTACTTTCTTCTTCAAAATATTTGCAGCAAAAATTAATTTTCTTATCAAATTACAAGAACGGTTAAATACTCCAATTAGAAAATGTAATATATTCTAAATTAAACTTTAGCATGAATTAAGAACTTCAAATGAACCAATAATATAAATTTTTGGATTTATCAACATTTGCCTATTTAATTGATATTGATTGATTAATTACGATATTTAAGGCTTCTTGAATTTTATCTTCATCTTATTTTATTTGTCTTCTCAGTGTTGAAGCTAAAGTTTCTAAGCATCTACTCTTTTTGTATAAATAAATTTTTCTCTACTCTCTTTCTCTCTCTTCGTCGATGAACTGATTCTCGCCCTTTGGAAAATATATAATAGATATAATAGATGTTTTAAAATAGATGAAATAGAAAATGTGTATGTCTTACAATAATTTGACAATCATATAAGATGTTTATATAACAAACAATACAAATACATCAATATAACATTACAAACATTTATTTAGAACATGCGCTTCGAATTCACTTAGGCTATAAAAAGCATTGGTTGTCAGAAGCATCTTGACATGTTTCTTAAATTGCTGCATAGCCTAAAGAACTTCTACAAAATATGTGCTTCAGTTTAGGCTTTAAGAGATTTTCTCTCTTATGAGTGTAGTGACAATGGTTATCAATGTGCTTCTTATGTAAATGTTTATTTTTGTGTGTAACTAGCAGTGTTTTAAATAGGTATGTACAAGGAAACGTTATTTTTTTGTGTTGCTGAAATATTTCTTTACAAGACTGTCTCGGAGAAAGTTTAAAAATTAGCCTAAGTATTCTCTTTTCTCGTACAAACAACCTTTCAACATCACTAGCTTGCCCCCAGTTCACAATGTTGTAAGAAATTGAGGAGTATGCCGAAGCATAATAGAAGACTAACAGTGATCTCTCAAGAAATGCGTGTCTAATCGTAAATATGGCAAAGAATGTTTTATTTAGTTTGATACAAACACTATTTATGTCTTGATCCCACCTCAATGATGCATCAATGTAGGAGCCAAGAAATCTTGTGCTCTGACTTTTTTCTAAGGATGTTCCAGATAATCTAAAGGATAAGTCATGTAAAGGTTTAATGTACTGGCCAGTAAATCCAACCACAATTGTTTTCTCTAATTTTATGATTAGATGATTTTACTTGCTAAATTTATTAAATTGTTCAACAGCAACAGAGGCATTATTTATCAGCTCCTGCGCGTCATTCCCGGAGACCAACACGGACGTGTCGTCCGCGTGCATGAAAACTCGACAGTTAATATTAGATTTCAGGTAAATCGTTCACGTATAGGAGCAAAAGTAATTGCCCCAAAATGGCCCCTTGAGGTGTGCCTAAGTTAACATCATGTGGATCCGAATATAATTTGAAAAAAATGTTTATTTCTACAATAATGTCATAATAAATGAAATAAAAAAAATAAAAAAATTAATATATTAATAATAGAGAACTCGTGTCAAAAAACTAATAACAAATCGAAACAGCCATAGGAAAAGAAATACCAAACTGTTAAATTGTCAATAATTTTGAAACTAAGAATTTTCCGAATACACAACCTCATACAAAGTAGTAAAAGTTAAAAAATAGGGGTCTCTATTTGAAAAAAAAAGCTGCCTTATGTTTTATAATTTAATGTATATACTTCATGTTTCAGCCTGTAATTTACATCCAAAATATCCACTCAATGTTTGACAAGGAATTCATCTAAAATCAAATAAGTAAGACTTGTAGGAAAAAAGGTACATTGTTTTAGAACCTGTAAACGTCATTTTTCAAATAAAATTCAAGATTTGTAGAAACCGATTACACTTAGGACATTATATATGAAATATATCTAGAATTCGTCGGGGTATCAAAAAGTGCAATAATATACATGGTGTTCTATTTAAAATAAGGAATCTAGTATTAAACCCTTATGAACGGAACACTCTGTATATATAAAAATTATAAAATCTAGCTGAAGCTATAGAACAATATACCGGTCATTGTATGCATTGTATATAAATTATTTTTTTCAAATATAAATTTGCACTTGTGCGCCGGCGAAAAAATAGCAAGTGCAGTTCTTAATATCTGCGAAATAGAGAATAGAGGATCAGAAAGTGTTTCTAAACTTTGATTATCAAGTTTCAAATTTATTATATGAAATGTCGTATAATCACACACTTTATAGTAATTAGTGTAACGAGTATTAGAAATAATATTGATGGTGGTAAATCGAAAATGGAAAGTCTTCGTCGTTAAGTACAGCTCTTAGCATATCCTGTATAGGTATTATTGTTCTTACTTTAGTATTATTCTATACAGGAGATAATTGTACTAAACAGAATAATTAATAATAAATAAAATACAAATTTCGGTCATGTGAAGTTGATTTTTTTTTATTTCCTATTAGAACGACAAAGAGTATACAGCGTATATCTTTTATTAAATTAAAAATATCAAGTTCACTTCTAGTAATCCGGCAAATAGAAATTGTTATTCAAGTGGGGGTATAGCTCAGTGGTAGAGCATTCGACTGCAGATCGAGAGGTCCCCGGTTCAAACCCGGGTGCCCCCTATTTTTTCCTTTCCTATTTTTTGTCCAAAATTGATTGTCTTTCTTTAGTTACTTAATTCGATTCCTATAAATACAATTTATCGTTCATACGATTGTATTGGTCGCATTTTGCGGGAAAATTCCGTAATTTCATTTCCGTGGTATTTATTATAAACAAACCAGAAATAACTTTCGTCGTGTAGATATCCAGCGTTACTTTTAACTTGTATTTAAAAGCGTTGGTCGATGAAACAACATGAAGAAAACATGCCCGTTTTCAATCGTTTTAATAGTGGCCATAGTACGATCAAGATTTACCGCTTATTTTCCATTGGTTTACGTAATTATTTCAGTTATGGGGCGAGGCAATTTCCAGGGAAATATCATGCGGAGACAAACTGTTCGTGTGTTACGACGAAAACAGATTTTTAACTTGTGTCCATAATGAGCGAGGGCCTAATTTCGCTATCGGATACACGAAGTTATGTCCGAGCGGTTTGATTTGCAGCGACTTTAATGGATACGAGTGCGAAGAAAGAGTTACGGACGAATATTTAACTGACGAAAAGTATCTGACATACTTCGATGTGGAATACAGAAAGAAAATTATCGACGATTGAATGCTGTATATTGGCGGTTATTTTGTGCATGTCTTTCATAATGAATATCCTTTTTAAACAATAGTACGTATTATGTATTAGGATTAATAAAAATGTTTGGAAAGTTTATAATAATAATTTAATAGAGGTCCATTGGACTGTAAGAACTCCAGAAATTGAGTCAGTTTTAAATTCCCTTGTTGAAAATCCTGAACTTAGTACTAGAAAAAATGAAAATCTGACACGTCTTGGTTTGAAAAATTTTGCACGATTTTCTATTTTATCCTTATTACATTCAACGAGTCCTAGCGTTACTTCCCTCAGTCATGGCCCCCTAGTTTGTACATTTTTTCGGAAACGTTGTTAACAGACAATTTGTTGTTAGGATGTTATGTTATTTCACTAAAACTGTAAAAGAAACAAGATCATCCATTTTTTTTTCTGAAGAGCATTAGTTGGTAAGTAAAAACTATATACTATGTTTTAGATAGATATTTTATTTTTCACAAAGAAGTCCTCGATTTAACCACTGCAGTGACGACATTACATAGTTTCGAAGGGCACCAGATTACTCAGTAGTTGAAATTGGAAATATTAGCATCTTAAACAATAAATTAGGACCTTATTTAATAAATTCTGGTTAATTAATTAACATTAATAACAACCCGTAAATTGATTTTTGACCAAAATCCACTTTTTTTTCGCGTTTCTTTTTATTTATATTTTAGGTTAGGATAAAGATATTGAGATGCGGTATTCACTGGGTTGTTGTCCCCTGGGCCTAAATTAATGACATAAAAAACTCATATCCTTGCCTGTTTTTCAGATTCTTTTTTTTTTTGGATTATGCCAGCAACTTTGTAGAAACCAATTGTTGAAATCAAAAGTAGAATTGGCCACTTTAGAAGCTCAGAAACTTAATTAAATTTAATAATAATAATAATTATTATTAAAAATAATATTTAATAAAATTTCTAGGACCGTCCCTTCTGGCACACACTGTACATTCGTAAACAGACTTCCAGACAAGCGCTAATCAATTTGATGAAATATTAGTACTATTATGAAAAATAATTAAAAAATAAAATCGAACTTGCAAACGGTAAAAATATTATAGATATGATTAAAAAAAAATAACAATAATTATTTAAGAAGATATTCTATATGGCCTCAATAAAGTATTTCGAACAAAACTAGTTACATTTAGATACTGTATACCTTCACATATTTCGTTTTTAAGTTTCTGGGAAGTGACTGGTTTATTTTAATACATTATTTTATTTTATACATTATACATCAATTTTTTAACGGAATCAGCATTTGGAAATGTTTGTCTATAAAAATAATGCAGTATTCTCACCTGACATTAAAATCCTTTTGAAATTTCAGCACCGGCAAGAACTTGTAAGACTTCCATTTAATTATTATTTATTAATCTTTTAATATTGAGATCCAAAAATCGTTGCTGGCTTTTATTCACTAGGTATTTGACATATTTTCTTTTTGTAACGCAGGCTTCCTCCCTCCAAAACTCACTGTAAATTGTTTTGGTAAACGGTTTGTTCCACTGATGTTTGTCTCAATGTAAATTTATTCACGTAGTTTCCAATAGCCACAGCTTCACTTTTATTATTTAATAAATTAAATTCTCCAAGTTCCATTGTCTCTTCCATGGTAAACTTTATGACCGAAAAATAAGTAATGAAGGAAAATATTTAATAGTGCATG